ACCGAGGGTTTCCCCGCGCCGCCCCCCGACTGACACTCTGTCAGTCGCCGAGTGTGCCCCTTGGTCAGGCCCGGGAGTCCTGCTGGGAGCGAGAGCCTTGGGAGGGGTGTCGACCTTCTCTGAGCGGGGGTTGTGGTATCCCTCCGCTCCTCCCTTCTCCCCCCATCATCCTTCCTTCCCCGTCGCCCCGGCATCGGGCTGGCTCGCTCCAGCGTGCCGGGAGACGGGGATTCCTCTTGGCTTATGCCCCCGCCTGCCTTCGGTGGCATCGCACGGGGCTGCCCGCCGGTGGTAGGCCACCCCGAGCTTGTCCCAGGTTCTCCATCCCGTTCCTGTTGGCGTTGCTGAGGTCACCCCTCCAGTTTTTGTGGTGAAGGCCTCCCCAGGCCCATTCGAGCGAGCATGGAGTTTGCCGAGTTGATCAAGACCCCTCGAGCGGACAACGTCGTCCTGCACCGCCCTTTCTACCCAGCTGTGGAGGGGACACTCTGTTTGACTGGCCATCATCTTATTTTTTCTTCACGGCGTCAAGATAATGCTGAGGAGCTGTGGCTGCTGCACTCCAATATTGATTCTATTGAGAAAAGGTATGCCTCCTAATTTCCCTGCCTACCCATACCTAATTGTTTGTGCTTCATGATGGGTTGAACAATGGTTGCCAAGACTGGCTCACACCTCAGCTGTCCAAAATCCAGGTCTGGAGAGGAGAAAGGACAGTTGGTTAGAGCCTGGGGCAGAATATTGGCACTGGCAGGTTGATTCTCATTCTGTTTGGATATTGATATTTGACTGTTGCATCTTAAGATTTTTTTTTTGGCATATATAGAGTTGGATTTTTTGTGTTTAAACACCTTTGTCAAGAATATTCTCTGTTAATTGTTCAGTGGATTACATCAGTAGCTCTTAAAACAATTTATAAAGGATGCATCTCTACTACCATTCAAGTGCGCTGGAAGCCGGGGCACTGATGAAATGACTTGTCTTGGGTCACCCAGCAGAGCTGATGGCAGAAGTGGATTCAGGACCTTCTCAGTCCCAGATCAGTCTCGTGCTGCTTGACACTATCATCCCCTTATTCTCTAACTGCTTACAGAAATCAGTAACGCTTTGGCAGCATACTCCTTGTGGGACCGATGTGGTAGAGCTGAGTTACAGCTGCCGCGCTCCATTTTACTCTTGCCCATCCCCTTTTATTGCAGGGACTTCAGAGATTAATCTTCTCACCATCACTTCTGTCTGCTTCACGTGTACTGTTGCCCTGTCACGTTTCCCTCGTTGAGTGGCAGTCCCATCTCACCTGGTCATTGTCTTCTGCTTCTTCACCTTGGCCTTTTTTTCAGGTTGCTCATAATATTTTTTTTTTTGTTAATTACAAAGTCCATCCCCTGTTTTCCTTGCCTTTTAAGGTAATCTGGAATAGTTTTTTCTTTCTGCCAGCAAGACTCAGGAAATCAAGCAGTAGCAATTAAAAAATATCAGATTGCCTCAGAATCTGAGAATGGGTTCAGTATTGGATGCTGCTTAAGTTTGTTCCCATATTCCTGATTTCTTTGAGTGTTTCTGAGAAATGCTGCATCTTGGCCTCAGGGTGGAGAGAAACCGAGTGGTGGAAACCTCGGGAAACCTGTTCCCATCTAGTACTGCTCAGTCATCAGGGTGGTTTGGCCTCATCCTTCTTACTGCTTGTACTAAACCAGCCATAGCTCCGTTTTGAAAATTATTATAACAAGCTTTTCTTTCTTTCTTTTTAATAAGCTTAGTTGCAATTACAATGTAAGTTAATACCAAATGAGCAAGGAACGTTTTAAGTTATGGTGAGGGAGTAGTGCGTTGCTAGCTCTATACATGATTTATTACAGTTAGCTACGTCTGGAGATACTCGCAGCCCTTATTGCCAGCCCTAGTTTCTACAAGGTCTCTGGAGTAAACCCCTCTGTCCTTGAGAATAGCTTTGTGTGAATGTTACGGCAATTAAACTCTGCCATATAAAAGGATACTATTATGTCCTCAGTGCTAGAGAGAATAGGAGGAGGACTAGATCTAAGGAAGAAATTTTTCACAATGAGCGTGGTGAAACCCTGACTCAGGTTGCCCAGGGAGGTGGTCAATGCCCCATCCCTGGAAACACCCCAGGTCAGGTTGGACGGGGCTCTGAGCAACCTGCTCTGGGTGAAGATGTCCCTGCTCACTGCAAGTGATTGGACTAGATGGCCTTGAAAGGTCCCTTCCCACCCAAAGATTCTACAATTAGTGTACAACAACTACAACACTGTGCCACGTTCATAAAATCTCTTCCTCCGCTTTCATGATATGAGTGTCTTTTGTATGTAACAGTGTTTTCCCTAATTATCAGATGGTCATCAAACTGCTGCTTAAATTTTTGTAGCTTTTTAAGCGACTTCAGTATGACCTCTAGATTTTTGTTGAGAAGTGGAACAGTATCTAGTGATCTCCCGTGGTCTTTTTTCTTAGAGAAACGTGGAGAGGAAACACAGCCCTGGTGATGTGTCATAACTGCACTGTGTTATGACATTGGGGATCTGTGAGGTCAAATGATGCAGAGACTGGCTGTGCTGGAGTTACAGAACTTTTCTGTCAAAAAGTCTGTAGTTCTTCCTTCAGCACTACCCAAATGATAATTAGTTCTGCATGTTAACCTTTCTTGTCACAGAAGAAATAGATAATAACCTTTCAGCTGTAATAATAATTCTAAAATAAATTACAGGCACCTTTTGTAGCACAGATGAAGCAACCCAAAGCTTAGCAACAGGTCTCCTCTTGGAGCATGGACAGCTCTGCCCTTGTTCATGCATGGTCTGACTGAGGGTTAGGCCATGAGGGACTGAAACTTGGTCCTTCGGGTCTTGCCTGCTTCTGCTTCTTGCATCACCTTTGGCTGCTGCAGGCCCTCCTGTGGTGTATGAGGAGACCCAGCTGCTTTTCCTTAGCTCACTGCTTTGTGAACTAAAATCTGCATCATTCCTGTGGACACTAGTGGCTAGTTAACATAAAGAAAACACTCGCTTTCTCTTCAAGCATCAACCTGCTTTCGGGTAGCAAAGGAAGGCTGGAGAGGGCGCCTGTGAGCTGTGTTCTGTGATGTAGAGGGGTTTTTTTTGAGTTGGCTTGAGTTGCAACCAGCGGTGATAACTTCTCTGAGGTCTGCAGAGCAAATAGCTCCATGGCACTACAGGTATCAGAAACCAAACTTTCTTTTTAAAGACAAGGGAGTATAATGCAGTGGGACTAAAATGTTACTTTAAAAATTAAATGTTTTTTTAACAATCCTCAAAGTTTCAATGCATGACTTCCATCTGAACCTTCCAGTACTATCAGAAAATACCTGAACACACCTTTTCTCTTTCATCTCTTAAAGAAGTTTTCCTTCTAGCTTCTCTTTATCTCATAACACTTATTTCCACTCACTACCGTATCACAAGGATGTAATTTAAAAAAAGAAGTGGCCCACAACTTGCTAATACCAAATAAAGAGGTGGCTTTGTTTATTTTTTTTGAAAGATGATATTTCAGGTAATTAGTAATACTAATGGAATTTTGTCCTGTAGGCATATGTTGTGGGAAGAGCTGTAATACCTCTTCATACCTAGAAGATCCTGTTCTTAAGAGATTCTTTCTTCATGTCTTGCTGTAGGTTTGTGGGCTCGTTGGGTACCATCATTATAAAATGCAAAGATCTGCGAATCATTCAGCTGGATATACCTGGAATGGAGGAGTGTTTGAACATTGCTAGCTCTATTGAGGTAAGAATTCATAATGATATTATGATAACACTTGCATTCTCAGATCTTGATCTGACCTCAACTTTAACAGCTTCCCCCCCCCCAGTTAGGAAGCTTTTCACTGATGTTCTTGAGTTTAAGCTCTGTTGTTAGTGATCGGGTAAATGCCATGTAGGATGTGCCCTGTTAGTTATACCTGGTCAGTGTGCATCCTTCTTGTCCTTTGGTGTGCTGTTTCGTAGTGTAGCCTGCAGAAATGACACTTTCTCTACAAACACTCAGTTTCAGTTAGATTGCCTGTTGCAGTCTGCTGTTATTTGTGCTACTGGTTTTTTATGTGTGTTAAACTATCCTGCAGGTAACTTAGTATTTCAAGCTTAATGGCCGTATATTTTTGGGTGGGTTAAGTTTGCATCACCAATATTAGAGGACAACATTATTTGCTGTATGTTTTTTTTGGAATAAAGTAGCAGTTTGAATTAAGTAGCTGTTTATTTCTCTTGCCTGCACAGGCACTTTCCACCCTGGATTCTGTTACTCTCATGTATCCCTTCTTCTACCGGCCCATGTTTGAAATTGTTGAAGATGGCTGGCGCTCTTTTCTGCCTGACCAAGAATTTGAGCTCCTCAGTTCAGTGGTAAGTTGGATCTTAAAGATTTGCACAGGCACTCGAATATACTTGTGCAAGTAGTTTGTGAAGTACTTCACCCAGTAGTGTCTGGACTGGAAGTCTCGGATGGTAAAAATAGCTGTCTGGTGCCTGGGTGAAAAGTGAGTGGTGTTCAAATAGTCAGGCAATAAACATCAGGCATTTCTGTTTATTCGCTAAATATTCCTATTTAGCGCTTGTGTTTCACCTTGTACAAATGGAGTTTCGAGGCCTATTTAAAAGTTACCTGGGAGGACATGAAGGTAGGAAATTTTTTTCGTAAGAACAAATTTAAGACCTTTGGCCTGGGTTTGTTGTACTTGACTTTGCATCTGAAGTGGAGTGGGATGAATCTTTGTCAACCCCTTAATTGAAATAAGGCTGTTCTTAAATTGCTAAGGATTTTTTTAGCTCTCTAGGATGATAACAGTAGATAAAGATGCCCAGTTTGAAACTCTTTTAGCTCTAGTTCATGCTGGGGAAATATTCGGAGGGTGTAGAGACCAGTAAATTTCCAGTCCTATTCTTCCAGGTGCTGTGAGCACATGTTGATATTATTTTGGTACCTGTAGGGTAGGAATTGTTCTTGTGGCATTGCCTGTTTTATCTGTTACTCAGACTTCATTTTAGGATCCTGAATTTGATACAGTGGGAACTGGCATGGTTGCAGGAGCCGATCTGTTTTAATAGTGCCTTGGGTTAGCATCTCTGTATTCCAAGTCTTTGTTTCACATTAAATGTGTGCACTTGCTGCATCATCTTAGGTTTCTGAGACCACATCCATTAGTACAGCATCATAGAACATTGATTTTTTTTTTTGTTTATCTGCAACCCAGCTTGTCTGCAGCATTTATCACCTCCTGTTTATGACTAATAACTGAATAATATGATTAGCTTGACCAGATTCATATGATGAAATCACTAGAAAATTACAGGAGTTCAGAGATGTTTCTATTTTTTCTTCATAATTAGAGTATTCTCACAGGTCCTATCTTCATCTGCTGTCAAAAGACATACAAACTGACCTGTTATAATAAATAGCACCACAGTTTTGGTTTTGATTTCAGCTGGGGAAGCCAAATGTGTGATCAGAGTTCTCCTGTTTGGAGGCAAAGCAGCAGATGCTTTCCCAGCTCAGCAGAGGAAACTTACAGGCATTTTGATGTGAATTAAAAGGCCAGAAGCTGAAGTGCAATCTGGTGAGAAGGGAGGAGTGTGAAAGCAGGACTGAAGGCAGCGGAAGGAAATCCTTTGGAGCTCAATCAAAGATTGCAGGAGACGATTCAACTTTTGTTCACATTTTGCTTCCTGTGTGTAGCTGAAATCCTTTTTAAATTTCTGGCATCAAATCACTTCTCATGGTTGTATTTACCAGCATTATACAGGTGCTAACATGGATCCATTGATATGCTTTTTTTTTCTTTTTCTTTCAGAGATTTAAAAATGCATTGATGGCTTATTTGTGAATTTCTTGGCTTTCTGAACATATGCTCCTTGGAAGGCTTACATTTAGAGACCTAATTACTTTATAGTGCTACATTTCAAGGGCAATAATTAATTTCTTTAAAATATGCATGTCTAACAGCTATTGATTTAATTCTTGGCTTTTAACCCAAAACTTCAGATGTAACCCCTTTTTAACAAAATGATGACAAAAGTCTTGTTCAAATGATTTGCATTTCCTGAATATCTGAAATCCTTTTTAGTTTTCAGGGATCAAATCACTTCTGATGGTTGTTCTGTAATTAAATTTTCTTATGTGACAGGCTAGAACAAGGAAATAGCTGATTCTATTTTTTTTTCAACTCTCATAAGTCAAATGAGTAGAATTCAGAAGGTTACATCCCTCTCCAACAAATCTGTTATGCCTTACCTTCCCCAATATGGTAACAACTTGTCAAAAACTGCATTTTGCCCACACTGCAGCTCTAGTAATGTATTAATTCTACATTTGTCTGCTACAGGAGAGTTGTTGTAAAACTCTGACACATTCTGTAATGGCAAAGTAGAACTATAAAAGTTAAGATTAAAAAAAGTTAGGTAATACATTTAAAAACTTAGATAATATATCACGTTGTTATACTGTATAATTTATCTGTTGGCATATGTTGTGCCAAATGTGGTGTTTTTCTCCCAAGACACATTCCCCCCATGTGATTTTACTCCATTGCATCGATCTGACAAAGTGTCATCTAGCATTGCCCCTAGAATTTGATAGCAAACTCTTAAGCACTTTGCCCCTACAGCTGAGCTCCAGGATTAGGGAGGCTGCTCTGTTATCACAACGTTCTTGCTTTTAGTCCATGAAGGTGTTAAGGGAAGAACTCTTAAGGCAAGTGACTTTATTTGATCTAAAGAAATTTGAGGAATTAAGTTTCAGTGGGCTGCAGCTTGCTGATGGCTGTTGCCATGTGTGCTACCTGTTTATTTTCTTGGGAATAACCTACAGCCCAGGTCAGCAGGACTTTTGTCAAGTGGCTTTCCATGAACTGCGGTTCTGATAAATGCAACGTATCACCAAAGTAGTTCAGCTGAGAATTAAGTCATCTGGAGAAATTGGCTCAACATTTCACTAAAATGTCACAGCAAAAACTCCACAGTGCCTGTAGGCTCCAAATTTTTGTACTGTGAGATGAGACTTTAAAGATACTATAGACAAATATATGAATGGAGTAAAAGATGCACAGGGTAGTTAATGTTTGCTCATCCAGCTTTTAGTTTTGTGTTGTGTTTTTGTTTGAAGCACTGGGTAGTACACAAGATTTGGACTGGTTATAGGTATGTCGGGTGAAATGTGTGTTAAAGAAATTTTATTCTTCACTGTGCTACTGCATAAGTAGTGAGTGACTGAATGGAATTAGAGTATATGCAGTATATATATATATATAGTATATTTTTCTGAGGAGTCAGAGAAGACCTAATAGGTCAGGGTGGAGTGGTTTCTCTTCTGACAGCTTCTACACCTGTAGGATACTGCAAACTGTAACTTTGGAAAATCAGCTTCTTAAGTGAAGAGAAGTTTATACAATAACAGCATAATTAACATATAGATATTTCATTGCCACACAATTTCTTCATTGTCTTTTTCTTTCCTTTTTATTGTAGGAAAGAGCTCAGGGTTCTGGACAGTTCAGCTGTGCTTTACCTATTATCCAGCAGCAGATTAAAAAACCCCTGTTTTTTCTGGGTTTGGGCTCAGTTTGCAATGGTGTGGATAGCCCATATTTTGCTCTTATCAGACAAGCATCAATCTTTGCCTGCATCTGTTATGCTGCTTTTCTTGTCCATGCACAATCTGTTCCTAACAGGGCTTGTTGCCTTCTGCCTGTTTCTTGGGAATGGCCTCCATCATTGCTGCTTTGTAGATTCCATCAAGGTCCAGCAGGTTCCTTGACTTTTAAGGCTTATTAGTAGAACTTGAATTGTTTCACGTTATTTTGTGGAAAACGACCTCTCCTAGCAATTGGGAGGAAGGATAACTGTTGTTATAGCCTTTTGGTAATGTTTGAAAATTAGTATCTTCTTCACTTTTACTTATCTCCTAGTAAACAAGTGCTAGGACCAGAAAAGTAGACATGTAAGAGTTAATCCTGTACTGTGTTTAAGAAAATACTTCTGACTAACTTTTTTAATTTGAAGTTCTCTCTCCTTTCTGCTTAGCCCCCAATCCTTTGCTGCTTCTAGCTTTAACTGGAATTAACTTTTTCTAATTTCCTTAAAGTACAGATCTCTTCCTGGAAGAAGTAACTGTTAATTATGTACTTTCTCGAAGTTTCACGCAGCATACTTATCTGGTGACATCTGAAGATGAGGTCCACCTCTTCTTTTTCACTGCAGTCCTTACTGCTTCCTGTATCTGCACTTGCTGCTGCCCATAATTGAATTGCTGTTACCTCGCTCTTCCAGTTAGTAATGGCAGTTTTTCCTTCCAAATTGCAGGCGTACTCCAAGGAAAAGCCAAGAAAAGACTTGCATTGTTGAGTGTTACTATGATCTGATTCATGTTGGAGTATATTTTAGCAGTCTGAAGCTGGCATTGCAGAGGTCAACTGGATCTCTACAGAAGTAGCTATGCTACAGAAGGCAAATGGTGCTAACCGCTGCCTCGCTCCTACTCCTTCCCATGTAACAGTAAATTATAACTGGGTGACATAACAGTATCATCTGTCTCGTGTTATAAATGGTGAGGAGAGGAGGTTATGGGCAGAGTTAAATTACAAAGTGGGAGATAAATCAGGTCGATACTCTTCCATTCCTTTTCATAGTGGTGATATCGGTGACAGCCAGTCTCTCAAAAAGCATACCGCAGAGTTCTGGTTTTGCCTTCTCTACATCCTATGTGGCAGTAAGGTATCTGAGTTCCATTTTATATCCATGCATATTTTTTTCATTGTAAACAAATTGCACATAATCATATGAAATCTGCTGTAATTTAATATAGACACCCCAAAAAGCTATAAAAAAAAAAATCGTTGTTGGTGCATTAAAAGCATGAGCTGTGACCAGCCAGCCTCCCGTATGTGATCCAGACCTTCTTTCATCTCTGTCTATGATGTGATTGCTGGAGGCAATTTAACTTTGCATCTGGGAGAACCTCTGCTTTTTATAAAATGTAGATATTCAGAAGAGCTGTTTTGAGGCTAATGAATAACGAAAAGACCTTACAATGGGGGTGGTGCAAGACTGTCCAGATAGGCTACTGAACACAGGTAGTGACTGCTGTTCTTAAAGATGGTGATACACACAATGTGTATGTTTCCCAACATCTTTTTTTTGGGTTGCTTCCAAAAGGGGCAATTTTGCTGTTTCCTGTGCCACACGTTCTGTGCCTTGGATCTACTGATGATGAAATAGTGTTGTGAATTGGTTCAGCTTTGTTCATCTGATGGAAAGGCTTCATTGCCAGAAAACCTTTCTGAATTGATCCTAGTTTTCCGTCGTACCAGTATAACCAGGTACCAGTCAGAGGTGTAAGGCAAGAGGTAGTAAGCCTCTGGTAGAAAGGAAAGAGGAAGAGACCTACTTTGATCAGAGCTGTGTAATTAATGCATGCTAAACCAACCTATCTGAATTGATGTTGGTTTTTTGTGTGTTCTCTTAATTTAACTGTCTTGCTCTTCTCTTGTTTCCTGTGATACCTGCTTTATCCCCCTACAGTTTTTGTCTAGCTGAAGCTTTCTTTGAGCGCAAAGGAGCAGAGTTTTTCGTGGCATCCGTATGAGGTCCCTGCCTGCTGCAGAATCACGCAAATGCTTCCCAGTCTGTACTGAAAACACCTCAGCTGAGGAGTTACTTAAGGTCTTGTTTGCTTTCTCATACCTGTGTGATGTCAGTGCACAGGAACTAAAAAATAAAAAAAAAAAATAGGAAAAGATACCTTGATAGCAGCTGCCTGTTCCTCTTCAGAAGGTTTGTATATTACATTTTAATTTCTCTGTCTGGAGCTTTTACAGGCAAATCTGACTGCTATTCTGCTGCTACTTTTAAGAATTTAATGCTGCTGTTAAAATCAGAAGATGTTATAGAGGCTTCTGGGTAATTTTCCCCACCAAGGCTTCTACCAGCAGGTTTTGTTGGCCATAAGGAATACAGGATAAGGATGCAATGACTGAAGACACAGCCCAGCCAAGCCCCCGTCCTGCTGTCGAGGACCATGAATTCAGTTCCCTGCCAAGCTTAAGGCAAGGTTCTGCTGTGTGCCTCTGGGGAAAATATATGCCTCATGGCCATTTGATGTACCTGGATGATGTCCTTAATGCAGCAGGCAGTGGTGTGGTACTAGCCCGCAAGCAGCAAGCCCTCCATGAAGACTGGACTTATCTGAGGCTGCAGTTAGGGCAGTGTCAGCTGTTCCAGCTGGGACTGCAGTAAGCCAGGACTCCTTGTCAGTGAGACAGTTCATTGACCTTTAGTTTTGCCTGAGATAGAGCCAAATCCTATGTCTGACCCAGGGGGTATCAGGTAGCCTGAGTTCTCATGCCAAGTGCCTGCGAGGGTGCAGGCTGCCAATCTTGAGCACTTCTTTCATAAGTGTTTGGCTGTTGGAAGCTGAAAAACTATGTAACAGGAGTTCATGGTGAGACCTTTGTGCTTAGATGCTGTGCCGGTTCCGGGAGGTGCTTTTGGTGGAAGAGTTGTACTGCTTTATGTAAAGCAGAGCCCATCGAAAAGAACCAAGCTGGAAATGTTAAATTGATTTTTAACCTCAAAGCAGCTTCACCATCTGGAGTTGGTGGGCATTCTTGCCTCCCTTGGCCACCTTTGTCTTGTGGACGGTGTTAATAACTCTGTCAGCACAGATAGAGGTTTGAGCCTATGTCACCTGCATCTAAATCAACCTTTTTTTCCCTAAATCTGTTGATGTAGGTATACGCTTCTGGTCTGGGGTCTCCCTGAGAGACATACCATGCTGTTCCTTCCTATGAGATTGAAACTATCTGCAAATGCAGTAAGTTATATTGTAGTGCATACTGCAGACATGCTGTCTGCTGTGCCTGTGAAATAATTAAAAGCCACAATCGCCCATTTCTGACCACGTGGACTTATTTTGTGCCGTTTGCTGAGGATGTGGATAAACCAGATGGGGAACCATTGTTCAAGTCCTGCACCTCAAGAACCAGAGTGGCCTGATAATTTCTTCCATTGCCTATAAGCTTTATCTGCATGCTGTGTAATGAGCTTTGGGGAGCTTCTGCAACCAGATATTATGATTGCAGGCAGCATCGAGGGGGGTGTGTGTGGGGAAAAATTGCTCAGCAGACCTGTAAATGAGTATTAAAAGGACTAGGCAGGGATATACCTTCTAATGTCTGTAATACAACATCTGAGAGGTAGGGGATGAGTGTGCTGCAGACAGTTGGCCAGGCTTGTTTGCTTTTCTTGAATAGCATCTCTTTCACCATGTTGTTTTTGGTGGACGCAAGATATGGTACTGGATTTGATCTGACCCATTAGTGTAGTTATACTATTACAGGGAATCCATATTCCCAGATGAACAAAAGTGATTATGCCAATAGTGACAACTGAGCTTTCATCTGTGGTGCAAACAGAATAAATCACCAGTGTTACTCTGTGTGCTTTGTTCTGAATATGGAAGTTCCTCTTCCCTAGTATGTTACGGCATTACTCTGTTTTGTAACCCAAAGCCTATATGGTCTTATCTTTTTTCAGACAGATGAATGGCGTCTCAGCTGCGTCAATAAGGAATTCTCTGTCTGTCCCTCCTACCCTCCAGTTGTCATTGTCCCCAAATCCATTGATGATGAAGCGCTTCGGAAAGTTGCCATGTTTCGCCATGGCAGTCGCTTCCCAGTCCTCAGCTATTATCATAAGAAGAATGGGATGGTAAGCTGTATTTGTGTAATGGTTGTACCTGAGGGAAGTCTGTGAATCTGTTTGTTTAATGAAAAAACAACTTGTGCTCTAGATTTAATACAGTTCATGAGATGTTTGCTTGTTTTATTTTCCAACTTAAGTGTATGCAGTGAAACTGGTTCTGGGTGATGGAATGAGTAATCTCCATCCTAGAAATAGCTATTAATCTGCTTGTTTGGCGTGTATGTGGCATGAGCTTGCTCACAGCGGTAAGAGCAAGATGAGACTTGTAAAGCTACTGCTGGCACCCTTACTTGCTTTGTCTGCCAAGAGGCCTCATGCTGAAAGGATGGCAGAAACCGCATTGTCTTGTCTCTGGGTGGTGGGCTGTCTCCTTCGTAATAGAGTCATGATGACAGCAAGCGTGCCCAGCGCCAGCACCACTTCTGCTGTGTAACTGTCGAACAAGCGATTGGAACAATCTGTTCTCTGAGCCTGTCAGTATAACATGTTTCAGGAGTAGCAAATTCTTGGTGTTGCGCAGACTTTACCACCTTTTGACGAGCCAAAATCTAATTGAGTGACTGATACGCTATAATTAAGAAATGCACTTTATGAAATTTTTGAGCAATACCTTGCATCTCTTGCTGATGTAACCAGTTCTGAGGATGTTGGGATGTCCAACCTCCAGCTTGTAAACTTGATGCAGGCTTCTGAGTCAAATGCTCTAATGTGTTCTCACCTCCTGCAGCCAAGATTTGTAAGCCCTTCATTAGAGGATGTCTAGTTCAACTTAGTACCTTTGGGGTTTTTTGCTTTGCTTTAAGATCAGCCGTCCACCAACTTCATAACAGTCGTGCTTTCTGCTTTTTCTCAGCTTGACTGAAAACCCTTGAAAGAAAGTTTGTTCAATTATCTCTCCAAATTGTGAATGTTTCAAGTGTGAGGAATATAATAGAGTTTGGCTCGGAGTGCTTGAACTTGTGACAGTAATGCTGTCTGTCACGTTGTTCTCCTGGCTCTGAGTTCTTGAGTGTGGCTGGGGTTGCTGACTGGCTGCCCTCACATTTCACTTATCATTTGAGCTGCTGGGGTGCCTCCTGAATTGAAAGGCGTTTACTAAAGAGAAATCTCAGCTAATAAATCTGTGGACCTAGGGTTTATTGGTCTAGCCAACTGCATAACACTGTACCTAATAGGCATCTTTAACACATGAATGACTTGAGTGTTTGAAAAACAGTTGGGAAGAGGCCTGAATGACAATCCTGAAAATTTTGGTTTATACAAGAGCCATCAACAAGCCAGTTCAGTGGCTCACAGAGATGGTACTACAGAAATAATTAAAGGGTTAAAGCCTTGAAGAAGACATCTGTAATTTAGAAAGTGACCTGCCAAGTGATTAGTCAATTCAAGGATTTCTAATTTGTTTGGTTGTTTTTAAATGAATTCAGTCCCTGCAAGGGATTGCACTTAAAAGAACCGAAGTATTCGGGGCAAGGGAGAACAGCAGCTGTAGAAAGAACTAGAGGGATGTTTCTGTGCATCAGGCAGTACAGATGAGGACATCTGTGGCCAGATGTGATGGATCAAACTTGAGGCAGACAGAAGTAGAAAGTCAGATGGGGCGAGAGCTGCGCTTGCTGGTTCAACTCCACAAAGAAGAGCTGGAGATCCAGGAGGCTTCCTCTTGAATTTTACCCCTGAGCTGATAAAGGAAGCTTTTTAAGGTTGAGCTAACTCACTCCTATAAGCATTGTCACAATGACCTGAGTTCTTAAGAAAAACAGGAGCATCCTTGTGTGAGTTTCAGCAGCACGCTTCTCTAGAGAGCCATTCTCCATGCCTGGCATTGAGACCCCTTTACCTAATGCATCGGTTTGCAATCCACATTTACAGACCCCTAAGATATCCTCTAGTGAAGGGGTGTCCTTTGCATAGTGAGTTTAAATCTCCATTCTTGGCTTGGAGCTCAAGTGATCAGTGGCTTTCAGTCTTAAATCTCTCCATTTCCAGTGCCTAATTCATGGTTATCTGTCTCCACAGGTCATGATGCGAAGTAGCCAGCCTCTTACAGGTACGAATGGAAGACGATGTAAAGAAGATGAGAAGCTTATTAATGCTACGCTACGGCCTGGCAAGCGTGGTTACATCATTGATACGAGGTCCTTGAATGTTGCCCAGCAGGCCAGAGCCAAAGGAGGGGGCTTTGAACAAGAAGTGCACTATCCCCAGTGGAGGAGGATTCACAAATGTATTGAGAGGTGGGTGAAATCACACAGGCTCTCCTCTGTGCTTGGCTTTGTAGGGTTGCATTGTCAGAGCCATTGTTAGCTCCATAAAGTATTTGCTTCTGTAAGAAGTGGCTGAGTATCCTGGTTCTTGTCAGCAGGGTTGTGTTCCTTTTTTGGCACAATCAGGGTATGTGGATGATACAGATACTTGGCTTTTGAAAGCTGTGTTTGGTTACATGTTCTGAACAACCTGCTGCAGGTTTCAGACATCAGGCAGCCTCCCTGTGCCATCTCCTTCTCTGACCATCTGTAGCCGCACTCCAGCCTTCCTGTGCTCCCCTTTGTAGTAGTGCACAGGAATGAGCATGTCCCTTGACAGAAAACTTCTGCAGGTGAGGATTTGTTCTGTGGCAGTCACAGTCCTCTTATCTAGTACTCTTCTCTGGACATCTAATATTGTTTGGTCGTTTGGAGACAAGTTATTAAGTTAAATAGACTGTTGGTCCAGCGTTGTTGAACTGCTCTTAAGCCTTAGCTTTTGGCAATCCTTCTACGTGGGCTTGCAGTAATGTTACTGGAGCTATTGAGAAGCAGTCCCTCCCCTCATCCTCAAGCCAGTCTTGAGGAGCTAATATAAGGAATTTCCTGGCTGTTGCTTTGAACTATTTGGTTTTGTGTCTAAAAATTTTATGTGGACTTGATTTTGATGTTGATTATTTTACAGGTGGATATAAGCATCAGATAGAGAGGAATGAATAAAACACAATATATAAAGACTAAGTATCTCATGCTCTTTGGCTTTGTCGGCTTCTCTGAGATCTAGTCTGCTAGCTGCATCCTCTATTAGACCTGGCCACCTGCTGGAATCACCGTTAAGAGGCATTTGATCCATCAGTAGTTTGGTGCTCCTGGAAGGCATAGTGTGAAACAAAACCAGAGAAGCATCTGGTTTTATCAGCTGCATGCTGAATACCAGCTTTCCAGGGCTTGAGGACATAATGCAACAAATGCAGAAGTGATACGAAATATGTTCCCTCCCCCCTGTTTTTCTTGCGTTCTTAAGAAATTAGCCAAACTAATCTTAGTGTAGTTTTACATTGAGAAGTTTAGTCTAGTTTAAACTTTTCTGTGTTACAGTGGAGTTTTGTCCTTGTGGGGGGTGGCTTTCAGATGAATGTTGCAGCTCTACAGGTTAAAACTCCCCCAAAACTTCTGCTGTAGTACAGAGAATGAAGGTGCAGCACTTGAAGCTTGGTTAACACTTGCTAATGTCCGTGCCAGGTTGTAGTCACACTTGTATTTGGTAATGGGAGTGAGACGACTGAAACACATTTTACATGGAAAGTGTAAGATACCGCTCAACACACACAGAGTTCAGGTGAGGTAAGGAAAAGGCTGTACTGTTGTAATGCCTTACAAAGCAATTTGTTTTGAAAGGTAAAAGACTACTTACATCCAAAGAGTGGTATTCTGCTAGCAGTTAGCCCTGGCTTGGGGTTCCCGGTGGAAACAGTTTTGCTGGTTGAGGAGATGTGACTTCTATAGGGTTGTACTTTTTAAAATAACTGCATATAAATCATAGTGCTTTATTTTCAGATCAGTATATTTCTGTAAGTGTGTTGTCCTGGTTGCTGTGTTACTGCTTATGTTTTCAATAATATTTTGCTTTTCCCAAAGGTTTAATATTCTGCAAGAAAGCCTCATCAAACTTGTGGAAGCTTGTAATGACCAGTCACACAATATGGACCGCTGGCTCAGTAAACTGGAAGCTTCCAACTGGCTGACTCACATCAAGGAGATACTAACTGCAGCTTGTCTAGCTGCTCAGTGTATTGACAGGTAAATCTTTTTTCAGAAAGCCTTGAGTTTCTCATTCACTGGTTACAGGTTGCTTGTTAAATACCTCTATTTCCACTTTCAGTATTAGTGGCTGGCTGCTGTGAACTGGCATTCTTGTATCCATGCAAGATACTGTTTCATCACGGTTAAGGAGTGTTCCTCCAATAAATCATGCTTGCATTTTGAGAAGTGCAAGCCTGAGGGAGGAAACCTTGACTGAGAATAGGGACTAGATCATCTAGTTAAGGTATATTCCTATGTCTGATGTGACCAATCTGATTTAGTTATTTTTATTGGAGGTTTAGGTTAGAATGTGCCCATCTGAAATGTTGTTTGGTAGCCTAGTAAAGTGAGAACACAGAGGTTTGCTTTTTTTAAAGTCCTTTTTTTAATTGAAAGTTTCCAATACCCCATCTTGCTTCTAGAGATTAAAACAATGGCATTTTCTTGTTTCCTCCAGGAAGTGGTCCAGTGCTTTTTCCTTCTGAAAGTTTTATCCCCATAGTTTTATGTAAGCAATCCTATTCATCCCTTCTAAGTGCTTGTGACCTCTTTTAACCTGACATTTCTTTATTAAATACTGCTGATGTGGCTAACTTGTCATCAAAATGTGTTCAGACCTCAGGTGCCAAGGTTTGTAAGATGAAATGCATGGGTCTAAATGTGATTTCTTTGTGGCTCGGAGAGGAAAACCCTTCTCAAAACTCAGGGAAAACCTAGCTTTTCCTAATAGCTAGGGGATGTGTTATACAGATACACAAGTAGGCTGAAATGTGGTCTCATTGATGAAAGAGTATTACTGCATTAAAATATGAGCTGCTGTGCTTTTTAAAAGCACTGGCGGTGCCTGTTTAGTTATTGACTGTGCCAGAAAAGGATTGCTCTTGATCAATAGTTTTATCTGTAACTCTTTCCAGCATGTGTATCATTCTTTCCCGCATGTGTATCATGAGAAAGATTGATGATGAAACTCTTCTGGCTTGTTGGGACAGTGGACAATTTCATCATTTTTAACCTTAGCTTTGCTTTTTCTGTTTACCTGGAGCTGTGGCAGGCCAGCTCAGCATTGGTGCCTGGCCCATCTCATTCAAAGCCTGGAGATCAGAGCTGAGCTGACAAGGATGGTTCAGTTATATTTGCCACAGGAAGGGAACGGTTGGGGCAGATCTTGCAGCACCTTAAAGGTCTGGGACCTGAAAGATGAAAGGTTAAAATAGCGTTATCCTGGTGTGCCCCACTTTGAGGCGTGCATTGCAGTTAGCCTTTGCGGTTGTGCTTGGCTGTTAAGCAGGCTTTTTATATGCCACTGCCTGGGGGAGGAGGAGAGAAAGTATCTGCAGATTATCTGTACCATAAAGGCACTTGGTTTGTTTTAGACATAGGACTATAGACAAAGATGTTGCAGGTACAGGTAATCTGTTTAAGGTACAGATTTTTATGCTTTTCACTTCAAAAAACAAGTAATATCTACAGGGTTACTTGCTTGCTAGATTGATCTTTCTTACCCACGCTTTGTTGTTTAGCCTGGGTCTCTGCACAGAAAGAAATAAAACCTGCATTTAATTACCTTTCTGAATGTAAGGATGTTGGCAGAAATGAGACATTGCATCAAAGCTTGGGAAGAGTAAGGGGAATGAATGTCATTTAATACCATCCAGTCCTTCCTTCAGAAGCACATGGGTGAGATCCTGATACTGTATCCAAACACAGCCTAGGGTGGAGGAAGAAGGGAGGGAATTGGCTGTCCTGGACAGTCCCCACTGGATATGGAGAGTGACAGCATGTGGGCTCTGTGTGCTAACTCAATGTGCAAAACCTTCCTGCCCCAAACTCTCCGAGCTCCCTCTGCTCTTCACATCATTCAGCTGATTCACTTGTGCTGGCTGGTGAGTGAGAAGCCTTTGTGCTTGGCTCTTTGACAAACTTCCTTGCTCAGCAGAGTAACTCTGCTGCCTTTTTGGAGGCCAAGCTTTGCTGCTTTTTTTCCTCTTTCTTTCTTTCTCCTGAATTAGCTTATTGACTTACTTTTCTTGCAGTAAGCCCCATTTGAAACCCAAATGCAAATAAGCCCAAGGTTGAGTAAGAATCTCATAGTACTGTTTTCGCAGAGCATCTGGGAGGATGATATGTCTTCACTGCAGTGCTCATGGGGAGATTTTGGAGTGCTTAGCAAAACAGTAAATGACACAAGCAAATTTTGAGATGCATTTCCATGCTATATCTCACAGGGGTACCAATTCAAAATAGTGAGAACCACAAAAGAGATCTCACTGTGCATCTTCAGTCAATGTGACAAAGGCTCTGGATTTCCATAACGTTTAGCAAGAAACTAAACCTTAAGTGATGCAGATCTCTAGTGTTGGTGAGGATTGAGATGGAGAAAGTGGTATGCTTCCATGTGGGGTGGGGAGTAAGCTTATGGGAGGGAAAAAGGGGTAAAAAGCCAGCAAAACCTCAGCATTGTCAGGGTAACAACACTGGTGTCCATGGGATGCGCTGGCATCCGCTGGGATGCATACATCCTTGGGATGTGTTGTGCTCATTCACGCTCTTTCCATTCCTTTCTACCTTTCTCACAGGGAAGGTGCATCAGTGCTAGTGCATGGGACTGAAGGAACTGATTCAACACTCCAGGTAACTTCTCTGGCACAGATTATCTTGGATCCAAGGTGCAGGACCATACGTGGCTTTGAATCTCTTGTGGTGAGGGAGTGGTTACAGGTAAGAAATGCCTGTTGACAAAATGGCAATCTGTTCCCATGACACTTCTATTGAGAAATAGCCTGAGAGGCAGCAAACAGGTTGGGCCTTGTGCAGTCCCGATTAGTGTGAACAGCCTTTGTCCTAAGAGCAACATCATTACTGAGTCATTTGTACCTCTGGTACTCCACTGGAGTCTCTGCCTGTCATGGTAGTTTTTTGGGGGTTTGGGGAACTGCCTATTTTGTGTGCTCAGGGTGAACATCTCTTTAGAGAACACAGTTCAGACTAAAAGACAAAATCTTAGTTGCAGTCTTTGTACTCTTGCAGCTAATATCCTCAGCGTGGTCTTTCAGTGCACCTACACCAGTTTGTTCTTGATAAAATTCTCTGATCAAATCCAGGGCTATTTACATAGCCTGAAAAAGGCAGCAAAGTTGGTCATGGTGGCTAGCAGTTTGTTACTGGATGCTTGATGAAGTTACGGTTGTAGAAAAGAGTAGTAATAGCATAGTTGCATGGACAGAACTGGCTCTGAAGTCTTTTTGCTACATGTACTCACAGCCCATTACTTTGTGTGTGATGCTCTCTCTGATTCTTATGTATAGGCTGGTCACCCTTTTCAGCAGCGCTGTGCCCAATCAGCCTATTCAAATAGCAAGCAGAAATGGGAGGCCCCAGTGTTTCTCCTCTTTTTGGACTGTGTGTGGCAAATCCTTCGTCAGTTCCCTTGCTCTTTTGAATTCAACGAACAGTTCCTCATTATGCTCTTTGAACATGCTTACGCTTCACAGTTTGGGACTTTCCTGGGAAACAACGAAAATGAAAGGTTGGTGAGGATGCTTGCTTTGAACCCTTTAAATATCAGGCTGTATCTGGAAAAAAAGTCTCTTTCAAAAACGATGAAGGTGCTTGTGTGGTTTCTGCTAGCACAGGTGAGCTCTTGTTGCAGTTACGTAGTCTGCTGCAATGTGAGGGATCTTGTCCCTGACAAATGAGACACTGTGACTAAAGAAATCTGTGGCTTGGTCAGGGAGTTGAACTAGTCTTCTCCAAGTCCAAGCAAATACCTTAGACTGCCTTTTCTGTTTCCCTGTGTGGCCTTGAAAAATCTCCACCCCTTCACCGGTTTATATAGTCTCTTACGCAGAAACTCTTTCCATAAAAGAATAAACAGCTAGAGTTAACAATGACGTGAGTCATAGCTGTGGAAGCAAACTTGTCTATGCAGGCCTGGAAGAGAAGGTCAAGGCAGTCAGAGGCCGAAGCTGGAAAGTCCTGGTTCTTACCTTAACTGTCAGAGGGGAACGTGACTCTGTAGCCTGGTGGTCCTGACACCCCCAGGAAAGGAAGGCTTTGTTTTTTGCATCATCTGCTAACAGCTGAAAGTGGAAAACATGGACGAGGTTCTCCCAGAAGGATCTACCTCACAGTTAAACCTTGGCAAAAGTTTTGCTTGTTTAGCTATGAGAGTCTTGATTTAGGTTTGAGCTCTTTCTGGCCATGGGGTAATACAACTTCAACAGAAGGACCACAAATCACTCTAGCCGTAACCTGTGACTCGGAGAAATGTGAATTGGCAGTCTGCCCTGGCTGAGATTTTGAGCAAATGCTATGAGCTCTCAGATGGATGCTCGTGCAACTTTGAAAGCAAGCAGCCAGGACTGCATTCTGCTGGAGTTTTAACTTGTCAGGTAATGATGGTCCTGTGCTGAGCTTGCTTACAAGCCTGTGGTGTTTAAGGTACTTGAGCAGACCAGCACTTAGCTTCTGAATCTTAGCCTGGGTTAGACACGGTGCTGTACCAGTGGGGCAGCTCTAGGCATGCCCTGAGTAGGGCTGCTGGGAGTAGTAAACAGGGTGGAGACCTGGAGGACTGGAGCCTCCCATGGCAGATGGCAGCTGCCGGAGAGGTTTGGATTCCTGTTTTGAACTTGGCAGCTCTGTTCTCAGGACTCCTGACTCCAGTAGGACCGTGTCTGATGGTCTCCTGCTTAACTAAAGACCACAGAATGAGTAGAAGGGAAAAATAGAACTGATATTATAGATAAGGAAGGCAAATTAAAGCTTCCTATAAACCTCTCTGCCCTTAAAGTAGTCTTTGCTTAGAAGAGACTCTTCTGTCTTCTGCAGGGCTGCTGAACTGGTCATCTGTGAAACTAAGTTAGACTTGAAACCAATAAGATGAAATTTGAAAGAGTATTGAATGTTACATGTAATAACCCGCCTGTCACATCTGAACATGTCAGCCTGTGAGCACAGAAAATGTTTGAAGTCTGATGTTAAGCTTGTGCTGCCTGAAGCATTCACAGGGATGGTGAATTCCCTGCCTGAGTGGCAGTTCAATTTGCTAGTGCAAGCAGAATGAGGTTTGCCAGAATCTAAGGAATAGAGACCCCTGTGTAACTCCTGGAGGTGGGTTTGACCCGGGAACGCAGCACTTTCCCTCTGTGCTCTGATGCTTCCTGCCACCAGAGGGACCTAATCAGACGTGCCCGTTGCACAATTCCAGCAATAACACTGCTTTAATGTATGCTGAGAATCGCACTATGATCCTCCCTTGATGCAGACCTACCACATCTCCCAGCTCTATCTTAACACAGGCATTCGATCCTTTTCAAAGCCTGGCAGTCGAATTGTTTTGGCAAGGTGACTGATTCTTCATCTAGACAGAAGGCAGCTAGCTTTCACCCAACTTATAAATGTTATTTCCCCATCTTTTCTTCAAAATTAATTGTAATTGGCCAGGTTGAGTAAATTGCTTTAGGTTTGTACCCTGTGCCACGTTGATGAGAGGTATTGAAGGGATTAGCCTGAATTGTCTGGGCTAGTGGGAAAGCTTGTGGCATTCTAGTCTGTGGGGTTCTGACAAAACAAAATGAGTCTTTACAGTATAAAAGTGAAAGCTAACTTGTTCCTATGGGTTTTTTAGGTCTAAACTGAAGCTGCCACAAAAGACGATGTCCCTGTGGTCGTGGGTGAACAGGTCTGAAGAGCTGAGCAAATTCCAGAATCCTCTTTTTGAGGCCAACAGCCTTGTGATCTGGCCTTCTGTTGCCCCACAGAGCCTGCAGCTCTGGGAAGGTAAGCCAGGCTTGCTTTTTCTGTTACAGACAATATATATTTTTGTGGCTACTTGTAAAGCTTTTCAAGTGTTCACTTCTGTTGTCTCTGCTCTGTGCCTAGTCTGTCTCAGCTGATGGTGATCTCACTCCCTTTGAACACTGTTTCAAAATATTTTTGGCATGTGCCCTCCCCAGAGGCATAATGCTTTCTCCTTCTGAGGACTGGTGACACGCTACTCTGCCAGGGAGCCATACTAGTACCATTTAACTTCTCAGCACAGTATTTCTGCAGTGACATAGCTTAATCTATAGATGTTCTTCAGTTCTTGGGCTTTTGTTCATATCAACCAAGACTTTTGTTTCTCCATTGTTGGCCATGTTGGTCAGGATAACCCGTGTACAGTACGTTCTCCATCCCAACACTGAAGAGTTAAAGTGAAGCAAGCAGGCTGTCACAGAATCATAGAACAGTTTGGGTGGGAAGGGACCACTAAAGGCCATGGAGTCCAACCCCTTGCAGTGAGCAGGGACATCTTCAACTAGAGCAGGTTGCTCAGAGCCCCGTCCAACCTGACCTGGGGTGTTTCCAGGGATGGGGCATCCACCACCTCTCTGGGCAACCTGGGACAGAGGTTTCACCACCCTCATTATGGAAAATGTCTTCC